TGGTGGATCAGAGCCTGATCAACCAGGCTGTTGCTGCTGGCTGCACGCAAACCAACGTACGAGCCACAGCCCGGCTGGTCAGGAACCGACTTTAGGTGCTTTGTCAGTCCAGCTTGAGACTGCCAGGGGTCTGTTGGTAATCCCCCTTATGTATGCTGGGAGGCAGTTGAACAGTCTCGGGCCCCTGACACTTATTGTATGGTCTCTTAACGTGCTAGTGACACCTCTGCTTTTCATTGGGGGGATGTTGCATCGTCTGCCAAGTCTTTTGCTTTCGTAGTGAGTGATTTTCGTGTGCAAGTTCGGTACTAGTCCCTCTAGGATTTTCCAGGTGTATATAATCATGTATCTGTCCCGCCTGCGTCCCAGGGAATACAGTTTTAGGAACCTCAAGCGCTCCCAGTAATTGAGGTGTTTTATCTCCGTTATGCGCGCAGTGAGGTTCTCTGTACATTTTCTAGGTCAGCAATTTCACCTGCCTTGAAAGGTGCTGCTAGTGTGCACAATTTTCCCAAGCCTAGATAGAACAAGTGACCTGAAGAGTGTCATCATGGCTTGGCCTCCCTAGTTTTGAAGGTTCTCATATCCATTTCCCGTCATTTTTCTAGCAGATGCGATTGATACAGTGTTATGGTCCTTGAAGGTGAGATCCTTCGACATGATCACTCCAGGTCTTTGACGTTGGTGTTTCGCTCTATTTGTGGCCAGAATTTGTTTTGTACTCTGATGAAGATTTAATTTCCTCGTGTTTACATATCTGAGTAAATTTGGGAAATTTTTCATCGTTGAACTTCATATTGTTTTCTGCAGCCCACTGAAGATTCGGTTGATGTCCGGGCCGGAGCCTGCAGTGTCTGCACTGTCATGCAGATTCGGGGGTCATCTGCAAAAGGAAGACACGGTGCTGTGGCTGACATCCTTGTCTATGTCGGATATGAGGATGAGGAACAAGATGGGAGCGAGTACTGTGCCTTGTGGAACAGAGCTTTTCACCGTAGCTGCCTCGGACTTTACTCTGTTGACGACTACTCTCTGTGTTCTGTTAGTGAGGAAATTATAGATCCATCGACCGACTTTTCCTGTTATTCCTTTAGCACGCATTTTGTGCGCTATTACGCCATGGTCACACTTGCAAAGTATGTATATATTACATCTGCATTCTTTTTATCTTCTAGTGCATTTAGGACCTTGTCGTAGTGATCCAATAGTGAGACAGACAGGAGCGACCTGTTCTAAACCCATGTTGCCCTCGGTTGTGTAACTGATGGGTTTCTAGATGGGTGGTGATCTTGCTTCTTAGGACCCTTTCAAAGATTTTATGATATGGGATGTTAGTGCTATCGGTCTGTAGTTCTTTGCTGTTGCTTTACTGCCCCCTTTGTGGAGTGGGGCTATGTCTGTTGTTTTTAGTAACTGTGGGACGACCCCCGTGTCCATGCTCCCTCTCCATAGGATGGAAAAGGCTCGTGATAGGGGCTTCTTGCAGTTCTTGATGAACACGGAGTTCCATGAGTCTGGCCCTGGGGCAGAGTGCATGGCATGTCATTTATCGCCTGTTCGAAGTCATTTGGCGTCAGGATAACATAGGATAGGCTTGTGTTAACCAAATTTTGTGGCTCTCTCATAAAAAATTCATTTTGATCTTCGACTCTCAGTCTGGTTAGCGGCTTGCTAAAAACTGAGTCATATTGGGACTTGAGTAGCTCACTCATTTCCTTGCTGTCATCTGTGTAGGACCCATCTTGTTTAAGTAGGGGCCCAATACTGGACGTTGTTCTCGACTTTGATTTGGCATCGGAGAAGAAGTACTTTGGGTTTCTTTCGATTTCATTTATGGCTTTCAGTTCTTCCCGCGATTCCTGACTCCTATAAGATTCATTTAGCTTAAGTTCGATGCTTGCTATTTCTCTGACCAGTGTCTCCCTACGCATTTCAGATATATTGACCTCTTTTAGCCGCTCTGTTATTCTTTTCCGTCGCCTGTAAAGGGAGCGCCTGTCTCTTTCTATTTTACATCTACTCCTCCTATTTCTTAGAGGAATAAGCCTTGTGCATACATCGAGTGCCACCAAGTTAATCTGTTCTAGGCATAAGTTGGGGTCTGTGTTGCTTAGTATATCTTCCCAGCTTATATCGGTTAGGACTTGGTTTACTTGGTCCCACTTTATGTTTTTGTTATTGAAGTTGAATTTGGTGAATGCTCCCTCGTGACTAGTCTCATAATGTCGGTCTGGGGCTCCACGCATACATGTCTGAATCTCAATTATGTTGTGATCTGAGTATATTGTTTTTGATATGGTGACATTTCTTATCAGATCATCATTGTTAGTGAATATGAGGTCTAGTGTATTCTCCAGTCTAGTAGGCTCTATTATTTGCTGGTTTAAATTGAATTTTGTGGAGAGATTTAAAAGCTCGTGTGAGTGTGAGTTTTCATCAGAGCTGCCTCCTGGTGTTATTACTGCAACAATATTATTTGCTATATTCCTCCATTTTAGGTGCCTTAAGTTGAAATCCCCCAGGAGCAAGATGTTGGGTGCAGGAGCTGGAAGATTTTCCAGACAGTGGTCAATTTTTAGCAGCTGTTCCTGGAATTGCTGGGATGTTGCATCCGGAGGCTTGTAGACTACCACAATGACTAGGTTTTGGTTCTCGACCTTTACTGCTAAAACTTCCACTACATCATTTGAGGCATTTAGCAGTTCTGTGGAAACAAGTGACTCTGCAATGTACAGGCCAACCCTCCCTCCCCCTTTGCCTGTTCACTCTGTCACATCTGTATAGGTTGTAACCTGGGATCCATATTTCGTTGTCCAAGTGATCCTTTATGTGGGTCTCAGTGAAAGCCGCGAACATTGCCTTTGCCTCTGCAAGCAGTCCACGGATGAAAGGTATTTTGTTGTTTGTTGCTGGCTTTAGACCCTGTATATTTGCAAAGAAGAATGTCATCGGACTGGTGGTATTGTTGGTACTGGGGGAGGATTTTTTTTCCGGCATTAGTATCCGTATCTGTTGGTTTGGAGTGGAGGCCATCGACTGTGGTTCCACTCCAGGAATGACTGGATTTGGTGTACGATTTCTGCCATTTCCTGCCAGTTTTTTTTCCTTCCTGGCACTAAAAAACCTCTCCCTCTTGAGTGGCTGTGGTTACCCAGGTTTTCCCATGGCCTGGATGTTTTGTATCTTTTTGTACCCTTTAGATGGTGTGCCTGGCAATTTAAGTTATAGCACAGTCTTTCCTGTACTGAAGAGGTACACGTTTCAGGGTGAAAAAGCTTACAGGAAAGGAGTTTGCATTTTCCTGTTGTCATATGGGCATGGCATTTTCTAGGGTGGTCATAGCTGCACGTCCCGTCTGTTTTTCCAGATTTCCCATGTCTGCAGATGCTAAGTGCATAGTATGTGCACAGGCTTGGTTTCCGTTTGCCTTGGGTTTCTGTGACTGTATTCCCTGTTGGTGCATGTTTCCCTGTCTTATTCCTGTCCTCCCTAGCACCAACAATGGAGCTCCCACCAGTTGTTTTTGGTAATATATCCTCACTATTGCTAGTGGAGTCCTCTTGTTTGCTATTTCCTGTGGTATTTCTAGTTTGCAATATTGGTTTTATCTTATCTTTGACTACACTTGTTTCCCCACTACGGCTCCTGTCCCATATGAGGTCATTTATATGTATTCCTTCCTGCGTATAATTCCCGACTACCTGGACAAAATCTCCAGCTTCACCATTATTGTCTCCCAGGACAGCACCTCCAGCTTCACCATTACTGTCTCCCAGGACAGCACCTCCAGCTTCACCATTACTGTCTCCCAGGACAGCACCTCCAGCTTCACCATTACTGTCTCCCAGGACAGCACCTCCAGCTTCACCATTACTGTCTCCCAGGACAGCACCTCCAGCTTCACCATTACTGTCTCCCAGGACAGCACCTCCAGCTTCACCATTACTATCTCCCAGGACAGCACTATAAGCCCCACATTTACTGACTACCAGGACATCACCTCCAGCCTTACAGTTTCTGACTACATGGCCAGTATCAAGGGCAGTACCATTCAGCCCAGACTTTTTATGTTCCCATCTGTTGTAGAAAGCTTCCAGGTTGTCTATGAAAGCAGCTTTGATGTTATCCCCTTTTAATACCCTTGTGATTTTAGTCCACAGATTTTCCTCATTTGGGCATACCCAAAAACACTTCCCTGTTTTAATACTGCTTGTAGCTAGTTCTTGGATATCTGCACAAGGGGCGTGACACCAATTTCCACAAAAATGACAATTTATCCATGTGGAAGCCCGTTTGTTTGATTGACTGCAGACTATACAGAGCTTCATAATGATTTGAATGGTTGATTAGTAGAAACCTTTTGAATACTCTATTAATAACCTCCTTAAATGTATTTCTATTTCTAACTGTACTTGTATATTGGACAGCTTACCGTGTACGTTCCTGATTTATATTTATTGTTTGTGTTTGATAAGGGCGCTAAGTTTCAAGAATCACTAGGTTTCAAGAATTACTAGGTTTCAAGAATCACTAGGTTTCAAGAATCACTAGGTTTCAAGAATCACTAGGTTTCAAGAATCACTAGGTTTTAAGAATCACTAGGTTTTAAGAATCACTAGGTTTCAAGAATCACTAGGTTTCAAGAATCACTAGGTTTCAAGAATCACTAGGTTTTAAGAATCACTAGGTTTCAAGAATCACTAGGTTTCAAGAATCACTAGGTTTTAAGAAGCATCATCCCAGCATAAGGCTGGGATCATGCAGTACGGGGATACCTTTCTCAGATCGTGCAGCGACCGATCATCAAGGCTGATATGCAGTACGGGGATATCTTTCTCAGTTCATGCAGCGACCGAGCATCAAGGCTGGGATCATGCAGTACTGGGATACCTTTCTCAGATCGTGCAGCGACCGAGCATCAAGACTGGGATCATGCAGTACGGGGATACCTTTCTCAGATCGTGCTGTGACTGAAACTCTTCAAGTTATTACTCACTTACCTTAAGCATGCGATCAAGTTCTTGTCTGAGGAAGATGTTCATAGGCAAGATGGCACCCATCCTCTGCAAGGCCTCTCGTATCTGGGAAAGAGTATACACACTAGTGTAATATCAGTCAGCTCGGAGGAACGGGAGCTGCTCTGAGCTGACTGATAATACACTAGGAAGAGGAGGAAAGGGAGAAGGAGGAAAAGGGGGAGGAGGAGGAAGAGGAAAGGGAGGATGAGGAGGAAGAGGAACAAAAGGAAGAAGAACATGAGGAAGAAGAGGGGGAAGAAGAGGAGGAAGAGGAGGAGGATGAGGAGGAAGAGGAGGAAGAAGAGGAAGAGGAAGAAGAGGGGGAAGAAGAGGAGGAAGAGGAAGAGGTGGTAGTTTTGGAAAAAGAGGAGGAGGAAACTAACATGAGGAAGAGTTATCTTGAGAAGCAGGACAATGATTAAGAAAGTTAAATAGTAAACCTAGAATCAACAATAGGAGAAATCCAATGCAGGTTGAAGAAGTTAAGAAGTGAAGGAAGATGGAAAGAAAGGCAACAAAAAACGAACAAAAAGGATCAAAGAAGAAATAGGAAAATGAAGAAAGTAAGGAAACAAGAGTTCATATCTGGGAAAGAGATTCTGTAATATATCAGTGCTGATTAAACCGTTACATATTATTATTAATATTGAAGAGAAAGATTTCCTTCTTTGCCATTTGGTAATTATTACAGAAGAAATCAAAGACCAAATATAAATCTGCCTCCATCAAATTTCCATTTCACTCTTACACGTCATGTTTACAGCTAGTTCGGCACAGTTAGGCAGTGAATCAATTTTCCACGACTCTGCCCTGAATGAGCCACACTGTGATTTGATAAAATCCACTGTGTGGGCGAAGCATATTCATGAGAGGATGCATTCCACTGTATTTGCATCTATTTTTCTCATCTAGTCCGTATTTTATAAAACTTTTCTCCATGACCCACACAGTTTTAGTATTTTTTATTTATATATATAAAAAAAAACTGACATAGATCAATATCTTGCCATCATACTTCCCTTTGGTCTCCTAACTTGCCCAGGTGCAACATTAAGACTGTGTGGATCTTACCTCATATTGTATGTAGTCTGGTGGCAGCTTGTTGAGCATATCGTAAGCCAGACGGGAGACCACAGCCTCCCTCGTCTCTCCGCCTCTCTGTCCACTTTCTTTAGGTTGCATGCTCAAGATGGTGTCCAGAATGCTCTTGGCTGTGTTAATTTGATACCTGCATGAAATATGTCAATCGTAATCTTTATTTGTTTACGAGACATTAAATACTGAAGACAAGGCATCATGAGTTTAGCTACGAATAAGTAATTACTAAAAGGATTATACCTGGAACATATATACCTGTGGCCGGTTTCGAGAGGTTCCAACTTTGGAAGCCCATCCTAGGAGTCAAGCTTTGCTGCCTGGCTTCTGGAATGGGCTTCGAGAGTTTCTGATCAACCAGGGTGTTGCTGTTGGTGGCCTGCTGGCCCACATATCTATCATAGAAGTGGTAATGATCCAATTTCCTCTTGAAAACTTCTACACTTGTTTCGGTAATATTTGTGATATCAGCTGGTAGCAAGTTGAATAGTCGAGGACCACGGCTGTTGACATACTGTTCTGTTACTGTGTTAATGTCTTCCCTGATTTTCACTACAATATCTCTCACTCCATTAGGTTGCTATAGTGGTGAGTAGGTTTGAGATTAGGTCCTCAGGTATCTTCCATGTATATATTGTCAGTTATCACTTGCTTCGTTGCATCCGAGAGCACATACCCAGCAGGTTCAAGGCTCTGTGTGGGCAGTAAACGCTCTCACTATATTTCCAGCACTCTTGTGCCTTGAACGTAGGCATCAACATCAGACAGTACTTTAAGTGAGAAAACACAAATAATTTGAGTAGTGTCACCACTGGCATTGTTTCTCTTGTTCTGATTTTTTTTCCTGACTTTCGCATGTTACCTCATTGTTTTAACAAACTGACTGGTCATCTGGCACACTGTCATTTGTTTACCACTAAGCTTTTTGATAAATTAAACACATGTGCAACACTTGGGCATCTTTAACGGGGAAACGTTTCGCCACACAGTGCCTTCATCAGTATGGACTGATAAAGCCACTGTGTGGCGAAACGTTTCCGATACCCAAGTGTTGCACATGTGTTTAATTTATCAACTTGTCGGTTTTCTGAACGATTTATGGTGGCTAAAGCTCCTGCTTCACACACGGAGGGCCCGGGTTCGATTCCCGGCGGGTGGAAACGTTTCGACACGTTTCCTTACACCTGTTGTCCTGTTCACCTAGCAGCAAATAGGTACCTGGGGGTTAGTCGACTGGTGTGGGTCGCATCCTGGGGGACAAGATTAAGGACCCCAATGGAAATAAGTTAGACAGTCCTCGATGACGCACTGACTTTCTTGGGTTATCCTGGGTGGCTAACCCTCCGGGGTTAAAAATCCGAACGAAATCTTATCTTATCTTACATCTGTGTTGAGATTCTTCCAAAGCCTCCTTAGTTATATGAATTAGAAATGGCCAATATCGATAATATCTAATACAAACACAAATTTCTGTTACTAGTGGTGAAGCCTTTATTTGATAAGAATAATGAATAATGGTCTGAAAAATATACTATAAATAGTAATAAAGTTGGTAGAATTACCGACAATATGTAAAGTAAAAGGACACAAGTGCAACTAATGTGACATTTATTGTGGCAACGTTTCGCTCTCCAGGAGCTTTATCAAGCCATTACAAACAATACATGGACACAGAGGGTATATAAAGGCTCAGAGTGAGGTGAATACTAGTGAGGTACCATTCCGATGTTCACTAGTGGTAGTAGTAGTAGTAGTAGTGGTAGTGACAAAAGCAATTAATTCGTACATGAGTAAAAGGATACAAAAGCTATTATTTGGGTAACATAAAAATAGGTTGGACAAATATAAACTGGAATGAGGCAGGTTGTTTCAGTGTTCACTCTCTGTGCTTTGTGTAGTATAACAGGAGAGACTATGTGATGGCAGGGTTTACAGTTTTCAGGAGGATTCTTGCTAAGACTTCGGAGATGGTGAAGCTGCCGTTGTTTTGTTTAATTGTATTCGAAACAGCGATCAGTGCTGATTCAAGGCATTTGCGTGTGCGGAAATTAGTTTCTTTTATCACTAATTGGGCGTCTCTGAATTTCATAAGATGATTGGTGGAATTTCGGTGTTGTACACAGGCGTTGTTTATGTTGTCGTTCCTACATGCGTATATGTGTTCATTGAGGCGGGTGTCGAGGTTTCTTGCTGTTTCACCTACGAAGATCTTGTCACAGCCTCCACAGGGTATAGTGTAAACTCCTGCATTGACTGGTTCGTGGTGCTTGGGTTTTGTCCTGGTTAGATCCTTTATTGAAGTGGTAGAAGCGATGGCGACTCTGGTGTTAGCTTGTGAAAGTACTTTTGAGACGTTTAGTGCAACCTGGCTGTTGGGAAGAATTATAACTTTGTTGGGAGCGGTGTTGATGCGTGGAGAATTGATGATCTGAAGAGCTCTTTTCTTGCAGTCTTTGATGAAAAAAGAAGGAAATTGTAACTCAGTGAATGTTTGGTGAATGTAAGTACATTCCTCGTCAAGAAACTCAGGACTACAAATTCGGTATGCTCTTAGGAAAAACCCGATGATGATGCCTCTTTTGGTCTTGGTATCTTGTCTGGAATAGAAGTGTGTGAGATCATTTTTATTGGTGGGTTTCCGATAAACTTGAAATCTTAGGTTGTTGTCTACTTTGTGAATGAGGACGTCGAGGAAAGGTAGCTTGTCATTGGACTCTTCTTCTAGTGTAAACTGAATCGCTGGTTCAACTGCGTTGAGCCTTGCCTGAAGATCCCGTACATCAAAACGTTTTGGAGTTATTACGAGGACATCGTCCACGTAACGTAACCAAGTGACGCTTGAAGGGATGATGTTGGCGAAGTGTTCGGACTCTAGGTGTTCCATGTATAAGTTGGCTAGGACGGCACTTATTGGGGACCCCATTCCCATGCCGTAGGTTTGTTTGTAGAGCTTGTTATTGAAGGAAAAATAGTTGAAGTTAACACAGAGTTCAATCAAGTCAACAAAATCTCCGGGAGGTAAAGGAAGATTAAGGTCCTGGTTGACTTTACGTCGTAGAACCTCGATGGCTTTTTTGGTAGGTACTTTTGTGAAGAGGGAAGTCACATCCAAACTGCTTAGTTTCTTGTTACGGATGGAGAGGTCACCACAGCTAACCTCCAACAGAAGATCAAACTCAATCGCAAACTTCAGTACCTCTGCACTAACAGTCGGTGGAAGGAAATGGGACGCGAATCCCTGATAAACAACTTATCGTCACGCACCTTAACCGACTACGAGAAACAAGCACTGAGTCTGGGACTCAAATTTACCACCAACATACGCAAACCTAACTATCAACTCAATCTTGTTACCAGGAACCATAGACACAGTGACAGCAACTTCCAGAAGGGTTATATACAGGGCCTTCTCACTGCAGCTTTATGTGAACCTTCTTCTTCTAATCTTCCTAGAAGATACATCACTGCCCTTAAGGACCTCGCCAACGACCCCAACATTATCGTCACCACCGCCGACAAAGGAGGTGGAGTCGTCATACTCAACACCAGTGACTACAACACTAAAATGATGGACCTTTTGAATGATCAATCTACATACGAACCTATCAGCACTCAACAGTGGGAGACGCTCACCAAAGACTTTCTATACAAAAGCAGACAAATACTCAAACGCACTAGAGAAGGGAAGAAACTTCTGTACTTGTTACCAAGCAACCCTAAACCAGCACACATGTATGGTTTACCCAAGACCCATAAACACAATATTCCTCTCAGACCAATCACGTCAGGAATAGGCAGTGCTCCACACAAACTAGCCGGGAGTTCTTGCCAAACATCTTTCCTGCCTTCTGGGGACCATCAGCCCGCTCATCTCAAACACTCAGGCGACCTTCTCAAACCGCATCCGTAACCTCTCCATCCGTAACAAGAAACTAAGCAGTTTGGATGTGACTTCCCTCTTCACAAAAGTACCTACCAAAAAAGCCATCGAGGTTCTACGACGTAAAGTCAACCAGGACCTTAATCTTCCTTTACCTCCCGGAGATTTTGTTGACTTGATTGAACTCTGTGTTAACTTCAACTGTTTTTCCTTCAATAACAAGCTCTACAAACAAACCTACGGCATGGGAATGGGGTCCCCAATAAGTGCCGTCCTAGCCAACTTATACATGGAACACCTAGAGTCCGAACACTTCGCCAACATCATCCTTCAAGCGTCACTTGGTTACGTTACGTGGACGATGTCCTCGTAATAACTCCAAAACGTTTTGATGTACGGGATCTTCAGGCAAGGCTCAACGCGATTCAGTTTACACTAGAAGAAGAGTCCAATGACAAGCTACCTTTCCTCGACGTCCTCATTCACAAAGTAGACAACAACCTAAGATTTCAAGTTTATCGGAAACCCACCAATAAAAATGATCTCACACACTTCTATTCCAGTCAAGATACCAAGACCAAAAGAGGCATCATCATCGGGTTTTTCCTAAGAGCATACCGAATTTGTAGTCCTGAGTTTCTTGACGAGGAATGTACTTACATTCACCAAACATTCACTGAGTTACAATTTCCTTCTTTTTTCATCAAAGACTGCAAGAAAAGAGCTCTTCAGATCATCAATTCTCCACGCATCAACACCGCTCCCAACAAAGTTATAATTCTTCCCAACAGCCAGGTTGCACTAAACGTCTCAAAAGTACTTTCACAAGCTAACACCAGAGTCGCCATCGCTTCTACCACTTCAATAAAGGATCTAACCAGGACAAAACCCAAGCACCACGAACCAGTCAATGCAGGAGTTTACACTATACCCTGTGGAGGCTGTGACAAGATCTACGTAGGTGAAACAGCAAGAAACCTCGACACCCGCCTCAATGAACACATATACGCATGTAGGAACGACAACATAAACAACGCCTGTGTACAACACCGAAATTCCACCAATCATCTTATGAAATTCAGAGACGCCCAATTAGTGATAAAAGAAACTAATTTCCGCACACGCAAATGCCTTGAATCAGCACTGATCGCTGTTTCGAATACAATTAAACAAAACAACGGCAGCTTCACCATCTCCGAAGTCTTAGCAAGAATCCTCCTGAAAACTGTAAACCCTGCCATCACATAGTCTCTCCTGTTATACTACACAAAGCACAGAGAGTGAACACTGAAACAACCTGCTCATTCCAGTTTATATTTGTCCAACCTATTTTTATGTTACCCAAATAATAGCTTTTGTATCCTTTTACTCATGTACGAATTAATTGCTTTTGTCACTACCACTACTACTACTACTACTACCACTAGTGAACATCGGAATCTTACCTCACTAGTATTCACCTCACTCTGAGCCTTTATATACCCTCTGTGTCCATGTATTGTTTGTAATGGCTTGATAAGCTCCTGGAGAGCGAAACGTTGCCACAATAAATGTCACATTAGTTGCACTTGTGTCCTTTTACTTTACATACTATAAATAGCTGGTTTAGAAAGACACGTAAGCAAACACTATGACATATTATAAATAGTTAAATCTGAATTTTGAATTATGAATTAAAATTACCTGAATGAATCTCATTAGATACATACCAGTAATTTTTTAACAGTAACAAAGATAATTGTTCTTTATCAAGGTTACAGAGACATGTAGGAATTTTAGGACATCCTAGGTCGCAAAAAAATGTCCTCCTTCAATACCTACTCCACTCATATCTCCACAAATCACTCTGGACCTATATTAATTTCAAATGAAATATACATCACCAGGAATTCTGGTACAACATTAATATAAATATGTGGACTGTATGTTAAATTTAATAAATGGCTACACATACATTGAAGGAGAATTTATAATAATAACACTCATCAATTTGTCTGGAGATTACTTGGTGAGTCATACACAAACCCCTGCCTAAAATATGAAGAAAATTCTGGCCAGAATTTCAACATAAATAGACATCACTCAGTTGGAGTAATTTTATCCTGTTTCCATCTAATTACAGAGTCCTGTCCAGTCGCCTAATGCTCACGTTATGCAGGACTGCAAATCCAACAATTTCGGCCCTATCTGAGAGGTTTTAAACACAATTTAACCTCTAGAGCGACGAAAATTCTTCTGATTCTTCCTTACGTTTCTCTTGCCCAGTTCAAAAAAACAATGACGACTCCCCTTCCTCAGCGACGCTCACCACACTCGCTGGTTCTTTATTTATTTACAAATTAATTTGTATTACCTACAATATATTCCATCAATTTACATACAAAATACACTGTATTTTCGGAAAATATACAGTATTTTCCACAGATATTAAATAATATGCAATGTATACTGAATGATGAGAGGAACAATATATTTTGAGAAGGACATTTTAATACATAATTGCATTGTCTCTATGTAATTCACAATTTTCAAGTATACCAGTAAAACAAGTTTTTTTACGTAGAAAAGCTCAAGTAATGTATTTCACTTACGTCCAGTGTCTCTAAACAATTGTTCTCCCAACATCCCAAGATGGCAGCAACACTCACGTGATGTCAGCGTTGGGGTGAAGACCAAACACCTCTGGTGAGTCTGTTGCCGGTAGTAGGTTGACAAACTCAAGATACTCAGCTTGGCTCTTGCACATTGGTAACCCGTAGCCTCTGTAGAACCTGCGGATCATATAATGTACAGAAATATAAAAAGGACAGTAACTGAAGGTAGGCTAATATCATAAGTGGATTCTGTTTAGTATCAAAAGAGAGAAATAGGTTAATTAATATAAACGAAAGAGAAAGTACAGTAGTCTAAGTTCATTTTTTTTTACCACAACGATTGTGTTTTCCACAGACTGGTAAATGCATTCACCAGCATCTCTTCAAAAGCTGTCTTACCAAATTGCGAAAATCGAAATTCAAATAACCTTTTGAATAGAATGTCCCTATCCATCCTTCAGTGTACAAAGAATATGCTTCTCAAGTCACGAATTTAAATCCGTCTAACAGATTCCCTAAAACCCTACCAAATCCCAATACTTCCTAGTTTCCACTAACTCCAATATTTTACACTCCTACTTGATGCTTAAACCTCCCCCTACTCTGAAACCTCCTTGACACCCTTTATTATAATCCTTCCAGAGATGTTCCTTGCATCTCATTCAATCCATTCTAGATTTATACACAAAAGTGTATAAATCTTATCTCTCTCCCTTTTTTCTAAATGACCAAACCATCTCAACAACCCTTCTCAGCACATATTTCTTAATGCCTCCGACCTCTTCCTTGCTGCAACACTCAAAGAAATTCCTCTCACTAACACAACAGTGTTGGCACAACATTCAAAGGATGCAAAGCAGGCAAAGTTCTCGCTTTACACGCTGAGGGTCAGGCTTCGATTCCTGTCAAGGGTGAAAATACTTTGGAGAAACTTGCCGACTAACATGCTCTTTTCTGTCACGTCAGAAATCACAGCCATCCTATTGACTGGACTTCTGCTAAAACTGTCAGAAAATCACAGCATCCTATTGACTGGACTTCTGCTAAAACTGTCTTCCCTACTTCCAACTTTAACAGTCGCCGTCTGGTTGAATCCTCCATAATACACAACTTTCTTGTATGAATCTTAGTCCTGGCTTCGTCGCTGTAGATGCCTTCCTCTCCCACTACATTGTAAAATGCTCCAAACTTCAGAACACCGTGACTTAACCTGATTCCTCCTTTTTTCTTCTTCTTCTCCCTCTTCCCTTTCCTTTTTCCTTTTTTCTCTTCTTGGTTGTCTTTCTTTCTTCTGTCTTGTGTTTCTGTTCCTTCATTGTTTATTTCATTTTCCCCTCCCCCCCACCTCGTGTTCTTGCTCTCCCTCTGTGGGCACCTAGCTCCCTTGCAGTGCTCCCCTTTCTTTGTATTTACTGGCTCCTCCTTACTTCCCCATTACCACTTCCTTCCATCTCCGCCACTACTACTACCACTACTACTACTACTTACTACTACTACTACTACTACTCTACTACTACTACTTCTACCACTGCCTCTTCCTGCCTTATATACCCGTCTTGCTCTACTTCTCGTTTTGTGTGACTTTGTAAATGGTTCAAGTCGGACCGAAACGTCGTCTAAGCTCCTCTCTTCTATGTACGGGTTATTTGTGTATCGTTCCAGTCACGGTATTGTGTCTTTTTTTGTTATTTGAGGGTGAAAACAATGGGCGTGTTTCCTTACACCTGCTGTCCATGTTCACTTACCAGTAAAATGGGTACCTTTGTGTTATTCGACTGGTGTGGGTCGAATCCTGGGACAAAACTGACCTAATTTGTCCGAAATGCTTTGCATAACAAGGGGCTTTTTAGATAGTAGTATGTCATTGATGTCATTGGCCTGTATACCTTGTACATGCACTTGTATACCTTGTACATGCACTTGTATACCTTGTACATTCACTTGTATACCTTGTACATGCACTTGTATACCTTGTACATGTACTTGTATACTTGTACATGCACTTGTATACCTTGTACATGCACTTGTATACCTTGTACATGTACTTGTATACCTTGTACATGCACTTGTATACCTTGTACATGCACTTGTATACCTTGTACATGCACTTGTATACCTTGTACATGCACTTGTATACCTTGTATATGCACTTGTATACCTTGTACATGCACTTGTATACCTTGTACATGCACTTGTATACCTTGTACATGTACTTGTATACCTTGTACATGTACTTGTATACCTTGTACATGTACTTGTATACCTTGTACATGTACTTGTATACCTTGTACATGCACTTGTATACCTTGTACATGCACTTGTATACCTTGTACATGCACTTGTATACCTTGTACATGCACTTGTATACCTTGTACATGCACTTGTATACCTTGTACATGTACTTGTAGAAATAAAAATATTATAAGAAAGGGAAATGTACTCAACTGTATTTCTTCATATATGTACTCATCTGTGGTATAAACCTTGGTAATAAATACCGACAAGTTGGTTTAGAAAAACACGTATGGAAACACTAGGAAAACGTTTCGATCCTGGGACCCTGAATTGATCAAGGTCCCAGGACCGAAACGTTTTCTGTTAAATATATTCTAGTGTGTGCATACGTGTTTTTCTAAACGTACTCATCTGTGTATTATGGGGAAATCATGCTGCAGTTCCTGAACCTTGCTTCGTAAGTGACATTAGTCATATGTATTGACATCTAAATAACATTAATGAGCTTATTCTGGCTTCATATTGCTCCAGTGTATGCCATAAGTTGAAGACTAAGACACATGTTCAACAGTTGGGTATATTACTGATGAAAGATTTCACCTACACAGTAGGCTTTTTTAGTCAAATACAAAGGTAGCAGTAGAAATGAAATAAAGATAATGGTTGATGGACTGATTACATTATAATTAGTTCATTTGTAGTGCTTGTTTGGATTGGAGTGAAGAAGCCTACTGTGTAGGCTAACGTTTTGTCAGTAAAGATACCCAGTTGTAGCACATATGTTTTAATCTTCACGTTGTCAGGATTTTATGCCATTTTCAATAATACTGTGAGACACTGCAGCATTCTTGATGCAGACGACATCTTCCAGTCCTCATCGCGTATCTACTAGTTATGAGTGGAAAGGGTTGGATTCCAGATGGATCTGTCTTCTTATTTGTACTAGTGGATCCATCCCTTAAAACGTCTTCCAGATTTTCCACTCATCTTCGACAGTATTTAAGACTCCATTCTCATGCTTCAGCCTCATATCGTTCCAGACATGGAACTCTTCTCGAGACTGAGGGACTGATCACCTGAAATATTTATTCTCCAAGGTTGATGGACTGATTACGTCTTTATTTCATTACTACTGCTCCCTCTATATTTGACTGATGAAGCTTACTGTGTAGCCGAAACGTTTCATTAATAATGATACCCAACTTTTGCACATGTGTCTTAAACTTCAACTTAATATAATATAATAATATAATACCTTTATTTACTACAAGTACATGTACAAGGTATACAGACCATAGCTGACATCAGTGACATCTAGAAAGCCGCTTGTTATGCAGAGCATTTCGGGAAAATTAGGTTAGTTTTGTCCCAGGATGCGACCCACACCAGTCCACTAACTCCCAGGTGCCCATTTTATTGATGGAGAACATAGACAACCAGTGTAAAGAAACACGCACAATGTTTCTACCCTTGCCGGGAATCGAACCTGGACACGCGCCGTGTGAAGCGAGAGGTTTAGCCACCAGTGCCATAAGTTAACCATCCTCATAAAGAAAAAAGTTCTTTCTTACATTCCTCTGGCTTATTTTTTCTATGAATATCATAGTTGTAGCACACTCCTGTGAAAGTTTTTTTCTTCATGCCTTAGTCATTACCTCTGATCGTCTTGACTATTGTAAACTTGTGTCTTCATATCTACAAAGTTGCAAGACTTTTGAACTCCGTAAATATAGTCAAAGTCCTTTATCCCATAACAAGAATAGCAGTAAATGCTGAATTAATTATCTCTGCGTGCATAAATTACCCAAAGTCAATTGTAAAATGTCTCTCAATATGTCACATGCGAAAGTTATCATAAGTATGTGTGTATATCCTACCTAAGTCAGAGGTAAGAAGTCTTTCATTGAGCCAGACGTGAAGGAAGGTCAACAGAAGCCTCTTGTCAAAGTCTTCCGTCACTCTCCCTCCGTATTGGATCTCACCCAGCATGTAGCAGATGGTCACCCATGACACGCCCTGTAGGTTGCTTTGTTAGTTGGACCTAAAGCCTAAGGGATACTCAATAGGTCATTAAGATTGCATGTTACCTGTTCATAATTAGTGAAGAAAACTTGAACTCATAAAATTAGGAGTAAATCTCTGTGTATGTACGTTTGCGTACACACACTGAGAGATATACTGTATACCTCTTGGTGTATATATCATATTCCTTGAAGAAGACAGACATTCTCAACATTCAACATTCTCAACCCCTGCCAATTTGGATTCAGGCCTAATAAAAATACTAATGATGCTATTATACACATGCTAGAACATATATACACTGCAATAGAGAAAAAAGAAGTCCCTCTGGGGATCTTCATTGACTTACGTAAAGCTTTTGATACAGTTGACCATGACTTGCTCCACGTAAAATTGTCACACTATGGTATTAGAGGGCACTCCCTCAACTACCTCAAGTCTTACCTCAGCAACAGAAGCCAATATGTGTACGCAAATGGGGCAAGCTCTTCCGCACAACCAATTACAGTTGGTGTCCCACAGGGAAGTGTCCTTGGCCCTCTTCTCTTTCTCCTATACATAAATGACCTACCAAATGCTTCGCAATTGCTCAAACCCACACTTTTTGCAGATGACACTACATACGTCTTCTCTCACCCGAGCCCAGTCACGCTAGCCAATACTGTAAACACCGAATTACAGAAAATATCTACCTGGATGAGTACTAACAAACTTACACTAAACATTGACAAAACCTACTTCATTCAGTTTGGTAGCAGAGCTACAGATGTACCTCTTAACATAACGATAAACGGATCACCTATCACAAAGCTAACAGAGGGAAAATTCTTAGGAATCCACCTCGATAATAGACTCAAATTTCATACACATATACAACAAATTTCTAAGAAAATTTCCAAGACTGTAGGCATACTATCGAAGATTACGGTACTAAGTTCCACAGTCAGCCCTCCTGGCCCTCTATCACTCTCTTATTTACCCCTATCTTACCTATGGAATTTGTGCATGGGGCTCAACAACAACTAACCATCTCAGACCACTAATTACCCAACAAAAGGCTGCAGTTAGAATGATAACAAATTCTCACTACAGGCAGCACACTCCACCAATATTCAAAACATTCAACCTACTCACCATACAAAACATCCATACTTATTATTGCACTTATTACATACATAGAACACTTAACTCTGATATTAACCCTCCCCTCAAACATCTTGCCAACCTCAACAGAACACATGACCATAATACAAGGCACAGATCATTCTTTGATGTTCCTCGTGTCCATCTCACGCTATGCAAAAACTCAATGCACATAAAAGGCCCTAAAATCTGGAATTCATTACCTGTAAATATAAAAGAAACACTACCTGTTTATAAATTCAAGTCTCGCCTCAAAGTTCACTTACTCACTCAAAACCAAATAAATACTGAATAACTGAACCATATAAATTGTATATCCTAAATGTTACTCACAATTATATCACACAAATGTTAAACCTAACTTTGTTATTTTTTTAAACACTACCTAACAGAATACTCCATTCTACTGAATGAACAGCAATGCATGCAACCATATGACCTGTTTTTGTAATACTCATTTGTATTTTATAGTTATCTGTTTACAATAATGTCTTATCACTGATTTCATCATTGCTTAGTTAATCTTAAGTTAATTGTAAGCCAGCCCGTAATGCTATGCATATAAGTGGCTTTGGCATGCTGCTCTTACCTGTATTTTTTTGTACCTCTGTATGTATGCTAAATTTCTAAATAAATAAATAAATAAATAAATAAATAAATAAATAAACACATATTTGCATAAAGGAAATCAAACATCAACACATCATTAGAACCAAATAAGACTTTCCTTTAAGAACATAAAGAGAAACACTGCAAAGAATAACGAAATTAATCTATTGCATAAGAAATCTTCCTTACAAAGACTGAATTTTCTTAAATTACATTCTCTGTAAGACATGACTGAAGTGTATAAGAGGAAGATGGGCATCAACAAAGGAGATATAAATAGGGTCCTGAGGATATCCCTCCAAGAGAGAGCCCGTAATAATGGGTTCACATTGGATTAATTTATATTTAGAAAGGATATAGTAAAGTATTGGTTTGGAAATAGAGTAGTCAGTGATGAAGATTAAGACACATGTGCAACAGTTGGGTATCTTCACTGATGAAAAGTTTCGCCTACACAGTAGGCTTCTTCAGTCAAATACAAAGGGAGCAGTAGAAATGAAATAAAGATGATGTAATCTGTCCATCAACCTTGGAGAAAAAATATTTGAGGTGATCACTCCCACAGCCCGGAGAAGAGTTCAGCTCCATGGTCTGGAACGATATGAAGCTGAAGAATGAGAATGGAGTCTTAAATACCGTCGAAGGTGAGATGGGAGATCTCAAAGACATTGTAAGGGATGGGATCCACTAGTGGAAGTAAGAAGGCAGGTCCATCTGGAATTCAACCCTTTTCACTCATAACTAGTAGATACGCTATGAAGAATGGCAGTTGTCCTCTGTACCAAGATACCGTTGTGCTGCACTGTCTGACAGTATTGTTGAACATGATATAAAATCTTAATCTTGAACTTGTCGGTATTTTGTACCGTTTTCAACAATACTGTCAGACACAGCAGCACAACGGTAACTTGGTACATCTTCCATTATGGAACGATATGAACTCTTTTCCAGGCTGAGGGACTGACCACCGCAAATACTTTTTCTCCAAGGTTGATGGACTGATTACATTTGACTGAAGAAGTCTACTATGTAGGCGAAACGTCTCATCAGTAAAGATGCCTAACTGTTGCACATGTGTCTTAATCCTCAACTTGTCGGTATTTTATACCATTTCCAACATTATGTTCCTATAAATCCCAGTAATCTGTTTGCTTTATTAAGTACGCTTGAGCATTGCTGTCTTGGTTTCAGGTTTCTTCTTACCATAACCCCCAAGTCGTTTTCTAAATCTATATGGCTAAGTTCTACATTATTTAGTTATGGACATTCTCGAGCTTCAGAACTTTGTATATATCTACATGAACTGCATCTGTCACTTATCTGACCACCAGCGAATTTGCTCATATCACTAATAATTTCCTGTTGTTTATAGTATATACTAATGCCCTCAACAGCAATGGGACTAAAACTGATCCCTGTGGAATGCCACTTGTTACATATCCGAACTCAGATTTTACTCCAGTTATGCACACTCTCTGCTTCCTGTTGGTGAGTCACGCAACGATCCATAACAGCAATTTTCCCCAATGTCATAAGCTGCCACTTTCTTTAATTAACAGTCCAAATAAATAATATCGAATTCTTTATCGCGATCAACAGCCTCAAAAGCTTTACTGAAGAAAGTCGGTAAATTAGTTAGGCAGGAACGACCCCTTGTGAATCCATGAGTATCAATAATCAAATTATTCATGTCAAGATGACTTCTTATAATATCAGCCATAACTAACTTGTAATTTGCCTACGATTGAGGTCAAGCATATTGGGTGGTAATTTGATGGCCATCTTCCACATATTAAACATTATACCTGATGAAGAGATATATTAAAAATGTTAGTTAATGGTTCACAAAGTTCCATTCTGCAATCCTTAAGAACCCTTTAAAAAAGTTCACCAGGGCCGGGGGATTTATTTTGCTTCAATCGGTCTACCTGCTTAATAATCACATCCCTAGTGACTATGATACTATTACTTCATTCCTACTATAAAAATTAATTACTGGGATATTGTTAGTGTCGTCCTGTGTGAAAACCAAGGGAAAATAATTATTAAAAATCGAGCACATTTCTTTCTCCTTGTCAGTATGATGCCCAGTTATTTTTAAAGGAGCCTATCTTTTCTCTAACTTTTATTCTATATACCTGGAAAAAAAACGTTCGGGTTAGTTTTCGAATTCCAGGCAATTTTATTTTCATTGTCTCATTCAGCTTTTCTTAGCCCCTTTTTAGCCTCATTTTTAATGTGAATATTTTGATTCATAAGATAATCCCACATCTTTTGATGCATCCATAATTCCTTTCTTCTGCCCTATTCGATCTTATTTCTTTATGCGGAATAAATGTTCTTTGAGCAGCATGTACAGTGTTTAGAAAACCGTTATATTGATAACTTTCATCGTTACCCCAGTCCACCGACGATAGGTGTTCTCTAAGTCCATTGTAATCTGCTAAGCGAAAATCTGGGACCGTTACTGAATTATCCCTACTATCATATTTCTACTATCATATATTCTATTCTATTGTGGTCGCTTGCGCTAAGTTCCTCTGTAATTTCTAAATTATTAACAAGGGATTCTTTGTTTGCCAGAATCAAGTCAAGCAGGTTATTTCCCCTTGTAGGTTCTGTAACAAACTGCTTTAAAAAACAATCCTGAACTACCTCTACGAAGTCGTTAGACTCTTAAATTTCCAGTCAAGGAACTTAAAGCTCCCTAGTTAAAGTCGTGGTTCTCTGTATATTCTTCAATGAATTTACATCCATCCTGTACAATGGAGACCAGAACTGAGCAGCGTAATCCAAGTGAGGCCATATTAGTGATGTATAGAACTGTAAAATAACTTCCGGACTCCTGTTACTTATACTTCTTGAAATATATCCTTGTAATCGGTTAGTCTTATTGCCCACACTTAGGCACTGTTGTCTTGGCTTTAGATTTTTGCTTACTGTTACGGAGTACTGTAAAAAAATATTTATAAAAGAAATAACGCTCCATATATCATTTTCCGGGTTTGTACTGAATCCGAGCGCGTATTATTCCCGGCCAGTTAGAGTGGCCAGGAGACAGGAGCAGATGAGGTGTGGTGAGAGTCAGTCGGGGGAGCACACTCTTGCAACAAGATGGCATAATACATCACGGTATATGTTTAGTAGGGATGGTGTTTTTTTGTAAGTTTATACCATATGTTAGTTTATTGCTCTCATGTTTACCTGTAAGGCCCTAGTATGCAGGGGCCTGTGTTTTGGAGAGTATTTAGCGTTTACACTGTAGGCTATGTAGCCTGCAGAAAGGGGGGTGACATTGAGTCTCCCTGTTCATAAATGTTCATTTGTTTAGTTTAACTCATTAGTAGCAGTGTGCTAGTGAACTAATGTGAACTGAAGTGTGGTGGTTTTTGTAGTAGATTGTAAGTTGTATATAAGTTATTATTATTATATATATTTGTATAGGTGAGTTTTTATCCTTCCTAATAATAATAATTAATATTGTTTAATATATGAAGACATGCTAGCCCAAGGTTTGCTGTGTTTTCAGAGTAATTTTATAACCCCTAGACAGCAGTGTGAGCAGCCTTTAGGAGCCAGGAACATTTTATTTAAGTTACGATATCAAAATCGTAACACTTACCATGACTCCCAGGTCCTTTTCACGCTATGTGTGATCAAGTCATACTTCACCTAGCGTGAAGTATAACCGAGGGTTATTCTCATTCCCAAGGACTTGGGAATGACCACATTGAACTTCAGCTGCCACTCTTCAGACCAAGACATTAACTTGTCCAAATCCTCCTGGAGTTCATTGGTATTCTCCTCAGAATCAATCATTCGGCCTATTTTTGTATCATCAGTAAATTTGCTCATGTCAAATGTAATTCCTTCATAAAGATCATTAATGTAAATTATGAACAACAATGGGCCTAAAACTGATCCTCGTGAAATGCCACTAGTGACCAGGCCCCATTTAGATTTGACCCCCATTAATGGAAACTCTCTGCTTTCTATTGGTAAGCCATGCCTCTATCCATGCTAGAACTTTACCTCCTATACCACGAGACGCCATTTTTCTTAAGTCTTTCGTGAGGTACTCTATCGAAAGCTTTATTGAAATCCAAATAAACATCATATTTTTTTATCATTAACTACTGCCTCAAATGCTTTACTGAAAAACGTCAGTAGATTTGTCAGGCAGGAACGACATCTTGTGAATCCATGCTGAGATTCATTAATTAAAATATGCTCATCAAGGTGACTTCTAATAATATCAGCTATAATTGATTCTAATGATTTACCTACTATAGACGTCATCCTTATTAGACGGTAAGACTTATCCCCTAATTTAAATATACGAATTATAATAGCCATCTTCCACATCTTTGGCACAACACCAGTTTGGATGGACGCATTAAATACGCTCGGTAATGGCTAACTAAGATCCAACTTGCATTCCTTAATTAAGTACCCTTGAAAATAATTCATCGGGGCCCGGAGACAGTTTGTCAACCTGTTTGATAACCATTTCCCTCGTGACAGTAATATTACTTAATTTGTTTTCTTCAGAAACTGAATAATTGTCATTTTCTGGGATATCATTTAAGTCTTCAGGTGTAAAGACTGACAAGTAATAACCATTAAACAGAGAAGACATTTCCTGTTCATTAACGTCAGCTGTCCATCCCCAGTTCTTATCAGTCTCATCTTTTCCCTGACTTTTGTCCTATACATCTGAAAGAACCCTTTTGGATTAGTCTTTGATTCACTAGTAACTTTTATTTCATAGTTGTGTTTTGCCTTTCTAATTCCCTTTTTTACTTCTCTTTTAAAATGAAGGTCAATAAGGCTAACCTTTCCTCTTTTGATGCGCCTATAAATTCCTGTTTTCTCTCCTAACAGGTGATTCAGTCTAATATAATTGATTATAATAGATGGATTAATAATTATTAATCCGTCTGGGATTATTCAGATTCCTTCGTATGATCGTCCATAAAATCATTAGCTAGATTACCCCAATCAAGATTACACAGGTGTTCCCAAAGTCCATTATAATCTGCAGAACGAAAGTCGGAGACTTTTACCATATTATCCTTATTCTCGTATTCCCAGGTGATAATAAAGGTAATAGATTTGTGATCACTTGCGCCAAGTTCTTCAGTGATCTCCAGATTATTTACGAGTGTTTCCTTATTTGGCAAGACTAGGTCGAGCAAATTATTACCTCTGGTAGGCTTTGTTACACTGTTTCAGAAAGCAGTCCTAAATTACTTCCAGAAATTCACTTGATTCCAGATTACCGGTCAAAGAAGTCCACTCAATTTGACTAAAATTAAAATTCCCCACTATTACTACGTTATCGTGCCTAGAAGCTTTATCAATTTCGTCCCAAAGAAGTCTCCATCTATTGCTTTTTAAGCCAGGAGGTCGGTATATTTTACCTAAAATTAGTTTTTCTTGACTTTCTAGAAATTCTACTTGGATTCTGTTACTAATCCATCTATTTTTATACCTGTTTTTATGCAATAATTTATATTTTCTCGCCCATATAATGCAACTCCACCTTCTTTCCCGCTATATCTGTCTATATGGAACAACTTAAACCCTTTAATATGGCACTCGGCAATCATATGCAATCACATGTTGTACACGTCTAATTTTTATCTTGTCGGTATTGTATACCATTCATATACAACTTGTCAGACACTGCAACATCATGGAATCTCCAAAGTCTTTTTTCTTGCCACTGGTCAGGCTTACTGGGCGGTAATTTAACGATAATGAAAATAATTTTTGAGGAGATGTATTAAAAAAGTTAGTTAATGGTTCACAAAGTTCAATTTTGCACTCCTTGAGAACCTTGAAAAAAGTTGATCAGGGCCCGGGGTTTATTTTGCTTTCGGTCAACCTGTTTGATTAACATATTCCTAGTGACTGATATTACATAATTTATTTTCTTTAGGCCCAGTATAAAAAAATAATTACTGGAATATTTTAGTGTCTTCTAGTGTGACAACTAAGAGGAAATAATTATTAAAAAATCGAGCACATTTCATTCTCCTTGTCAGTATGTTCTTAGGTGTGTGTAGGCGTAAGTGGTGAGGGTAGCTTATGAGGGGAGGGTATGGCAATAAAGGTAGGATGGAGGGGGTAAAAGGGTAGGGCAGTGTGTGGGGTAAAAGTGAGTGTGAGGGTAAATGATGGAAGTCTAGTGAGATAAGGAGTACTGGGGCTGCGCATCCTGTATGAATATTACACGAAAGTATTTTTTTCATCCACCCAACAATTCATACATCCCTTTCACCTTTTTGGGGTCCATATCATCGAGGTGATTTTGGATAAACTGGACGGAGGCCTGGAAATCAGCTTGGTTGAACTCGTAGGGAACATTCCAGCCCAGCGCTCCGTATTTCCTGCGTTCCTGCACAACAGTGTGAAGGAAGGCAGTGGCGTAGAGTAGTCTGGGCCACTGGTGGGCGTTGGTATAGTCTAACAGGTCCTGTGGACGCAGGAATAAAGATATAGAAGGCAAAGAGTTAAAAGAGGCATATTAAAACAAATAAGAGGAACAGGAAAAGGATTTGAAACAAAATGATAACAAGTAAACGAGGGATAATTCTTGAGTATTGCTTTATTGTACTGGAAGGAAGTATTATAATGTGCAGTAACTTAGTGTAGTGTACTGGAAGTGAAGAAGTATTATAATGTGCAGTAACTTAGTGTAGTGTACTGGAAGTGAAGAAGTATTATAATGTGCAGTGACTTAGTGTAGTGTACTGGAAGTGAAGAAGTATTATAATGTGCAGTAACTTAGTGTAGTGTACTAGAAGTAAAGAAGTATTATAATGTGCAGTAACTTAGTGTAGTGTACTGGAAGTGAAGAAGTATTATAATGTGCAGTAACTTAGTGTAGTGTACTAGAAGTAAAGAAGTATTATAATGTGCAGTAACTTAGTGTGGTCTCGGTGGGACCTGGTTATTACAGCACCGTGTCTTCCTTTGCAGATGACACCCGAATCTGCATGACAGTGTCTTCCATTGCAGACACTGCAAGGCTCCAGGCGGACATCAACCAAATCTTTCAGTGGGCTGCAGAAAACAATATGAAGTTCAACGATGAGAAATTTCAATTACTCAGATATGGTAAACATGAGGAAATTAAATCTTCATCAGAGTACAAAACAAATTCTGGCCACAAAATAGAGCGAAACACCAACGTCAATGACATGGGAGTGATCATGTCGGAGGATCTCACCTTCAAGGACCATAACATTGTATCAATCGCATCTGCTAGAAAAATGACAGGATGGATAATGAGAACCTTCAAAACTAGGGAGGCCAAGCCCATGATGACAGTCTTCAGGTCACTTGTTCTATCTAGGCTGGAATATTGCTGCACACTAACAGCACCTTTCAAGGCAGGTGAAATTGCCGACCTAGAAAATGTACAGAGAACTTTCACGGCGCGCATAACGGAGATAAAACACCTCAATTATTGGGAGCGCTTGAGGTTCCTAAACCTGTATTCCCGGGAAAACGCAGGGAGGGAGAGATACATGATTATATACACCTGGAAAATCTAGAGGGACTAGTCCCGAACTTGCACACGAAAATCACTCACTACGAAAGCAAAAGACTTGGCAGACGATGCACCATCCCCCCAATGAAAAGCAGGGGTGTCACTAGCACGTTAAGAGACCATACAATAAGTGTCAGGGGCCCGAGACTGTTCAACTGCCTCCCAGCACACATAAGGGGGATTACCAACAGACCCCTGGCAGTCTTCAAGCTGGCACTGGACAAGCACCTAAAGTCAGTTCCGGATCAGCCGGGCTGTGGCTCGTACGTTGGTTTGCGTGCAGCCAGCAGCAACAGCCTTGTTGATCAGGCTCTGATCCACCAGGAGGCCTGGTCACAGACCGGGCCGCGGGGGCGTTGACCCCCGGAACTCTCTCCAGGTAAACTCCAGTGTACTGGAAGTGAAGAAGTATTATAATGTGCAGTAACTTAGTGTAGTGTACTGGAAGTGAAGAAGTATTATAATGTGCAGTAACTTAGTGTAGTGTACTAGAAGTAAAGAAGTATTATAATGTGCAGTGACTTAGTGTAGTGTACTAGAAGTAAAGAAGTATTATAATGTGCAGTGACTTAGTGTAGTGTACTGGAAGTGAAGAAGTATTATAATGTGCAGTAACTTAGTGTAGTGTACTAGAAGTAAAGAAGTATTATAATGTGCAGTGACTTAGTGTAGTGTACTAGAAGTAAAGAAGTATTATAATGTGCAGTGACTTAGTGTAGTGTACTAGAAGTAAAGAAGTTTTATAATGTGCAGTGACTTAGTGTAGTGTACTAGAAGTAAAGAAGTTTTATAATGTGCAGTAACTTAGTGTAGTGTACTGGAAGTGAAGAAGTATTATAATGTGCAGTAACTTAGTGTAGTGTACTGGAAGTGAAGAAGTATTATAATGTGCAGTAACTTAGTGTAGTGTACTAGAAGTAAAGAAGTATTATAATGTGCAGTGACTTAGTGTAGTGTACTAGAAGTAAAGAAGTTTTATAATGTGCAGTGACTTAGTGTAGTGTACTAGAAGTAAAGAAGTATTATAATGTGCAGTGACTTAGTGTAGTGTACTAGAAGTAAAGAAGTTTTATAATGTGCAGTAACTTAGTGTAGTGTACTGGAAGTGAAGAAGTATTATAATGTGCAGTAACTTAGTGTAGTGTACTGGAAGTGAAGAAGTATTATAATGTGCAGTAACTTAGTGTAGTGTACTAGAAGTAAAGAAGTATTATAATGTGCAGTGACTTAGTGTAGTGTACTAGAAGTAAAGAAGTATTATAATGTGCAGTGAACTTAGTGTAGTGTACTGGAAGTGAAGAAGTATTATAATTTTGCAGTAACTTAGTGTAGTGTACTAGAAGTAAAGAAGTATTATAATGTGCAGTGACTTAGTGTAGTGTACTAGAAGTAAAGAAGTATTATAATGTGCAGTAACTTAGTGTAGTGTACTAGAAGTAAAGAAGTATTATAATGTGCAGTGACTTAGTGTAGTGTACTGGAAGTGAAGAAGTATTATAATGTGCAGTAACTTAGTGTAGTGTACTAGAAGTAAAGAAGTTTTATAATGTGCAGTGACTTAGTGTAGTGTACTGGAAGTGAAGAAGTATTATAATGTGCAGTGACTTAGTGTAGTGTACTGGAAGTGAAGAAGCATTATAATGTGCAGTGACTGTGTAGTGTACTGGAAGTGAAAATGTATTATAATGTGCAGTGACTTAGTGTAGTGTACTGGAAGTGAAGAAGTATTATAATGTGCAGTGACTTAGTGTAGTGTACTGTAAGTGAAGAAGCATTATAATGTGCAGTGACTTAGTGTAGTGTACTGGAAGTGAAAATGTATTATAATGCGCTGTGGCTTAATGTAGTGTAGTGAACTGGAAGTGAGTAAGTACTATAATATGGAGTGGTTTAGTGGTTTAATGTGCTGGAAGCAGAGCTGTGGGCACTGACCTGAGAGACGTCTGCATAGGTCCTCTTAAGGCTTGCTCTAATACCCTGAGGAGGTTCATTGGTGAACTTGATGGATATCTGCCATCAAAATCCAGCTGTTATTGTCAAAGTAGTCACCAGCTTTGTCATTAACTTTATTATTATCCTCAAATACCTTTATAATTAGAAATGCAACCAACTTTATTGTCATTGTTAGTACAAATGCAGTATCACTTTTGATTCTCGTCTTTACTAAATTTTTCAGTGCAATAACCCCAGTCAATCATCATTAATATCATCAACATATTTTTCATTTTACATTAACTAAAATATTCATATCACTTTCCTTACCACCATCTCTCTCCCCATTCCTTCTTTATTCTCATCATGCTCATGCTCTAGATTCTAATAACGATCACAAATCATTATCATTACTTTAATTAATACCACCCCTTTCCATCTGTTTCTTAAATACCCAGTCAATGCTCTTCTTTCTGTTTCCCTGTAGAGTAAACTAAAAGCCTCTGAGACACGCCTGTACCATACCTGGAGAAGACCAATTGGGAAGGAAGTGTGGACTTCGGTGGTGATCCAGAGGCGGAAGCATTTATGGATGTTACATGACTCTGTGATGGTATCGAGCATCTCCTGGCAGAACTCCAGGCTAAGATGACAGTTCTGCAGGAGGAGCCATCGACCTGCCGCCATGGCCTCGGCCAGAAGACGTCGAGCGTGGGCCTCTTGCCCCTGACCCATGGATATGAATTTGATTTCTGATGGCAGAAAGCAACATAAATTGACAAATGGGTTAAATATGTCATAAAGATACAAAATATTGGCATTTCCGTGAATGAAACCTTTGCAATAATTGTATCTTCATGGAAAATAAAATATTTTTACTATTCTCTTTTTACTTTTACTCTTTCCATTATTATCATTATTCTACTATGCAAGCCAATAGTACTGTTGTATATAAATAATTGAGACACAAGAGAGTAGTGTGTCCCGTAGCTCGGTTGGTAGCCCACTCAGTTAACACACTGAGGTCCGGGGTTTGCTCTCCGGTAAGGGTGGAATTATTGGGGCGTTTCCTTAGGACACTTGTTCCTGTTCACCTAGCAGTAAATAGGTACCTGGGTGTAAGCCGACTAGTGTGAGTCGTATCCTAGCCAAGTAAGAAATTATCCACTTTCGTGACAAGCTAAGGTATATAATTATTATTGAAAATGGCAGCAAGTAGGAGCCATAATCAGAGGGTCTTCTACCTATTTCCTTGGCCTTGGCAAGCGTCTCGATCTGGCCAGAGGGATCTGAACCCTGGGAGAGGAAACAGACGAGCGGGGTGCGGTTGTCAGACTCCTCCCAGGTGGCCTCTAAGTCCAGGATAACACTATCTGAGTATTGCTCCCCAAGAGAACCTGAAATCACAAAGAGTTGATTATTCACAGCTGCATAGGAATGGGACTTATTTTTTTTTCTGATATTGGAAGACAGAAGCTTGCAATACAAGGTGATCAAATAAAATATTTTTAAAAGACCCGAGAAATGAAGGAATAAAACTCATGACTGTCCATGTCACAATTTGTATGTTTGTAATGGGAAAACTACTTGTTACAAGTTCCTTTACTGTATTATTAAGAGAGTTTCGAAATTCTTTATATATATATATATATATATATATATATATATATATATATATATATATATTATATATATATATATATATATTTTAACACATATGTATATATATATATATATATATATATATATATATATATATATATATATATATATATATATATATATATATATATATATATATATATATATATATATACATATATATATATATATATTTTACTAATAGGAATATTTTATTACATAATATGGTACAGAAGATTTAAGAGATACATTGTTGATATAAAGGTGGCATATACGGTACATGTTCTTACGTGTGTATCACCGATTATAAGGCGAAAATCTCATCCAGCTCCTCAGAGCTGGCCTGTACATTTCAGAGTCACTTGTTTGCACAGAACTGCTAAATGCCTCAAATGATGTAGTGGAAGTTTTAGCAGTAAAGGTCGAGAACCAAAACCTAGTGGAAGTTTTAGCAGTAAAGGTCGAGAACCAAAACCTAGTCATTGTGGTAGTCTACAAGCCTCCGGATGCAACATCCCAGCAATTCCAGGAACAGCTGTTAAAAATTGACCACTGTCTGGAAAATCTTCCAGCTCCTGCACCCAACATCTTGCTCCTGGGGGATTTCAACTTAAGGCACCTAAAATGGAGGAATATAGCAAATAATATTGTTGCAGTAATAACACCAGGAGGCAGCTCTGATGAAAACTCACACTCACACGAGCTTTTAAATCTCTGCACAAAATTCAATTTAAACCAGCAAATAATAGAGCCTACTAGACTGGAGAATACACTAGACCTCATCTTCACTAACAATGATGATCTGATAAGAAATGTCACCATATCAAAAACAATATACTCAGATCACAACATAATTGAGGTTCAGACATGTATGCGTGGAGCCCCAGACCGACATAATGAGACTAGTCACGAGGGAGCATTCACCAAATTCAACTTCAATAACAAAAACATAAAGTGGGACAAAGTAAACTAAGTCCTAACCGAAATAAGCTGGGAAGATACACTAAGCAACACAGACCCCAACGTATGCCTAGAACAGATTAACTTGGTGGCACTCGATGTAAGCACAAGGCTTATTCCTCTAAGAAAAAGGAGGAGAAGATGTAAAATAGAAAGAGACAGGCGCTCCCTTTACAGGCGACGGAAAAGAATAACAGAGCGGCTAAAAGAGGTCAATATATCTGAAATGCGTAGGGAGACACTGGTCAGAGAAATAGCAAGCATCGAACTCAAGCAAAAGGAATCTTATAGGAGTCAGGAATCGCGGGAAGAACTAAAAGCCATAAATGAAATCGAAAGAAACCCAAAGTATTTCTTCTCCTATGCCAAATCAAAGTCGAGAACAACATCCAGTATTGGGCCCCTACTTAAACAAGATGGGTCCTACACAGATGACAGCAAGGAAATGAGTGAGCTACTCAAGTCCCAATATGACTCAGTTTTTAGCAAGCCGCTAACCAGACTGAGAATCGAAGATCAAAACGAATTTTTATGAGAGAGCCACAAAATTTGGTTAACACAAGCCTATACGATGTTATCCTGACGCCAAATGACTTCGAACAGGCGATAAATGACATGCCCATGCACTCTGCCCCAGGGCCAGACTCATGGAATTCCGTGTTCATCAAGAACTGCAAGAAGCCCCTATCACGAGCCTTTTCCATCCTATGGAGAGGGAGCATGGACACGGGGGTCGTCCCACAGTTACTAAAAACAACAGACAGCCCCACTCCACAAAGGGGGCAGTAAAGCAATTGCAAAGAACTACAGACCGATAACACTAACATCCCATGTCATAAAAATCTTTGAAAGGGTCCTAAGAAGCAAGATCACCACCCATCTAGAAACCCATCAGTTACACAACCCAGGGCAACATGGGTTTAGAACAGGTCGCTCCTGTCTGTCTCAACTATTGGATCACTACGACAAGGTCCTAAATGCACTAGAAGATAAAAAGAATGCAGATGTAATATATACAGACTTTGCAAAAGCCTTCGACAAGTGTGACCATGGCGTAATAGCGCACAAAATGCGTGCTAAAGGGATAACAGGAAAAGTCGGTCGATGGATCTATAATTTCCTCACTAACAGAACACAGAGAGTAGTCGTCAACAGAGTCAAGTCCGAGGCAGCTACGGTGAAAAGCTCTGTTCCATAAGGCACAGTACTCGCTCCCATCTTGTTCCTCATCCTCATATCCGACATAGACAAGGATGTCAGCCACAGCACCGTGTCTTCCTTTGCAGATGACACCCGAATCTGCATGACAGTGTCTTCCATTGCAGACACTGCAAGGCTCCAGGCGGACATCAACCGAATCTTTCAGTGGGCTGCAGAAAACAATATGAAGTTCAACGATGAGAAATTTCAATTACTCAGATATGGTAAACACGAGGAAATTAAATCTTCATCAGAGTACAAAACAAATTCTGGCCACAAAATAGAGCGAAACACCAACGTCAAAGACCTGGGAGTGATCATGTCGGAGGATCTCACCTTCAAGGACCATAACATTGTATCAATCGCATCTGCTAGAAAAATGACAGGATGGATAATGAGAACCTTCAAAACTAGGGAGGCCAAGCCCATGATGACACTCTTCAGGTCACTTGTTCTATCTAGGCTGGAATATTGCTGCACACTAACAGCACCTTTCAAGGCAGGTGAAATTGCTGACCTAGAAAATGTACAGAGAACCTTCACGGCGCGCATAACGGAGATAAAACACCTCAATTACTGGGAGCGCTTCAGGTTCCTGAACCTGTATTCC